TTCTGGCATCTAGAAACTATTCCATCATTATACAACTTGGTCCCAAGGTCTCCCCACTCCCGGTTCAAGTCAGATGATCATCAGGGTGACAGAAGACGACACCAGCCCACCCCACAAAGAGGACACTGAAGGCCCCTGGTGACAAGGACAAAGCAACCTGGAAATCACCCTTGGAAACGCATGAGTGGATTCCAATGTAAAAATCACCAGGCAGAGCCGGGAGGACGTCTGAGCCACTGCATCCTTGAGCTGCCGGGTGTCACGAATCTGTGATTGATCCAAATGGGGACAAAGCTTGAATGACGATGGGGACCTTGGCTTCCTGGGCAGTGCACCTTCCCAGAGCTGTGAATGAGGGCCGGTAGGGAAAGGGTCAGCTGTATCTGTGCAGGCAGGGGGCCAGGGGCCAGCAGGCTGGGTCAAGGACTGGCAGGGCTGGGAAATCTTCACTGAGTACTAACTGTAGCCATGAATTTGAGCAAACTCCAGGAGATGATGAAGGACAGGGAAGCCTGGCGTGCTGCAATCCAGGGTCACAAAGAGCCGGACACGACGGAGAGGCTGAAACAACAACTGTAGCCAAGCGCCCAGGAGATCCCACAGTGGGCAAAGGCGGGGACCGACACCAGCTGCCTTAAATTCCCCATGGCTCCCTTTCCGAGGATCGAGATTAAAGCCTGGGAAATGACGTTCCATTTTCCCCCCTGGGAGACTCTGTGATTCTACATTCGGAACACGACCAGCAAGAGGGCTGTCACAGGAGGAAGGCACTTTGCTGTGGGGAGCCCTTCCCTCCAACCTCAGGTGAACTTCTGACCATTTGACACGCAGCCTCTACCAGCATCATGTGAGGCTGGAGCTCAACACTTCCGTGAACCTGAGCCAGGTGATTTTCCATCCCAAGCAGCTCTTGGCTAAGCATCATCTACATCTTTGCTCAGAGCTCCAAGGTCAGTGATGAGAGCCTGGGGACCTCATCTAATGACCTCATCAAGTGAACTCACCAGGAGAAGAGCAATTGAAGCAGAAAGCCAGTGATCATCTAAGAATTATAACCATCATTGTCATCACAATCACCACCAGTACCACCAGCACCATCATCTCCATCATCATAATTACCATCATCTACATCATCCCTATCATCAGCATCACTATCACATCCTAAGCAGCAGCATCATCACCATCTCTATCATCACCATCATCATCACTACCACCACCATCACCCCAGAGTCACCATCACCACCATCATCACTATCACTGTCACCACCACCATCATCATCCTCACCAGCATCCCCCTCTCTGTCATCACCATCATCATCACTACCACCACCATCATCCCCATCATCAACATCTATCACCAGCACCATCATTATCATTACTATCTCTATCATCGTCATTGTCACTACCACCATCATCATTATCATATTAACAGCAACAAACGCATCCTGAGGAGCTGTTTCGTGACAGGCATTGTGCAGGCATGCTCAGCCCCTTCAGTTATATCTGACTCTTTGCAACTATTTTGACTGTAGCCCACCAGGCTCCTCTATCCATGAGATTCTCCAGGCAAGAATACTGGAGTGGGTAGCCACCCCCTCCTCCAGGGGATCTTCCCAACCCAGGGATGGAACCCGAGTCTCCTGCTTCTCCTGCATTGCAGGCAGATTCTTAACTGCTGAGCCACCAGGGAAGTTCCGTGACAGGGACTGAGCATCTGGCATATACTATCTCACTTAATTTTTACAACATCATGAGATGGTTTATTATGTAATTCCCACTGATGTACAAAGAGGAGAGGCAAGTTGTCCTGGTTCAAACAACTAATACAAATGAACCCAGGAATTGGCATCAGGCTTCATCACTCTTAACCATCACACTAAAACTAGGAGAGCTCTCCCAACCACTTTATGGCCCTTGGACAATTCCAGTAGTGTTTCTATAAAATGTTACCTTCTGACAGATTTCACAGGGCTTCACATCACCAGCCACCTGCCCTTTCTATGCCCACCAATGTTTGTGCTACAGAAAGAAAGGAAAACATAGCATTCCCCTTCTAAACAGCTTTCTACAGAAAAAATAAATAAATAAAACAACTCCCCAGGGCTTCCCCAGTGGCTTGGTGGTAAAAAAAATCCACATGCCAATGAAGGAAACACAGGTTCAATCCCAAGAAGATCCCACATACCTCAGAGCAACTAAGTCCATCCCCAGCCTTTGCTCTAGAGCCTGTGCTCCACAAAAAGAGAAGCCACTACAATGAGAAGCCCATGCATTGCAATGAAGACTAGCCCCCATTCTCTGCAGCTAGAGAAAGCCCTCACAGTAACAAAGACCCAGCACAGCCAAAAATAAATAAATAAGGTTATTAAAAATAACTCCCTAAGTCTGATTCCAGAGACACTTCTTTGGACAACAGAATTGACTTAGCAAATTCTTTGTATCTCTTCTTAAAGCCTTAATTCCAGACTTGGGGTGCAGTGAGTGGGCAAGTCTGGGCCTGTTTGTCCTCAACATCTGTAATCCTCTCCTTGGAGTCACTCCTGCTGGGTATAAAAAAACTGGTGCGGATGAAGGATTCTTGGTTGCCAGGCACCGTGTTTTGTACTCAGGGCTGATTTATGGAGGCCTCACAGCAACCTTTTAGGGGAGATATTTTGAAGGTCTAATTATGCTGATGAAGAAAATATAGTGAAGAGAGAAGAGAACTTTCCCAGAATCACCCAGCTATGTTCAGCAGATCTGCAGCTTAGAAGCAGGTACTGCTCACTACAGCTTGCACAGCCCCCCAGACCACTGCTCTGGGATCCCCAAGGCCACTCTTGCTGCCTTAAATCCTGGCCAAGAAGTGTGAGTAGTGGTCATACTCCAAAGATTTGGGGGGCTTGGGTCTGCATCTGACCACTAGGGGGATTCTCAGGACCCCTGCTTGGGCTCTTGATGCTCTGGGGCTTGGGTCACTTTTGAAGGAAAGTTGAGCATGAAGGAGCCCAGTTAGGGGAATCATCTCTGCATATTCTCTCTTTTCTCGCCTTGAATTTGAAGCTGAGGACGGTGGGGTGCCCCTCCTCAGCATCCAGTATCACTTCCCAGAATGAGCATTTCTCTGCATTAAAAGCAAACACACATTATTTTCCCCCATTTAAATTTGTTGTGCTAAACAAATTAATCTAGCACCAGATTATATTATGAAGAACCACAAATCTTTTCCAAGATAAGCATCTGTCGAGTTGGATTAGCAATATCCAATGTACTGTGAATTAATTTGCTAAGCCTTATGATGGTGTCCCGGGCGTTTAACTTTAGTAATAACAAATGTAATTTGGAAGAAATGGGAACTCGTTTTCTCATCCACATCTATATAGTAAGTGACGTAGGCAGGGAGATGACAATAAATGAATGCACCACTAAATTCTATTATGATGATGGCTTGGGAGTTTATTGAGGTAAAAACTAATGCTTTGTAAACTGCCTCTTGGGTGCCTGGCACAGAAATGAATGGCAGGCTCTGTGTGTCTGTGGATTCCAGAAGGAGGCTACAGGGGAGATGGCTGAAGCACAGTTCTGCAGACCCTCACCCATGATGCTCCCAAGCTCACAGCCTCCATCCCTCCATCCTGGCCCATGGCCCCCAGCATTGAGATAGAGCTTGGCTTTGCTTCCATAGATATGGTGCTCTCTAGGGAAGAATTGCTCAGAATAAAAACTGCAGCTCTCTTGTCCAGGTGAAGGGAGGAAGTAGGTCATGGAATAAAAGCCACCCACTCTATGGAAACCTGTCCAACTACCAACCATAGCCTGCCTGCCGGCCAGTGTGCAAAATCTAATGCACACACAGAATGCAAGGGATAGCGTAGCAATCGGGTTGCACAGGGACCCTGAGGAGCAATTCTCTCTGTCCTCTGGGTTCTGAAGAGGACCTGTGTCAGCTCCAAACCCCAAGGAAGTGGAGAGGCAAGCTGGGGGTGGGGGAGGCTGCACAGTGCCCCCATCCCCTTCCTGCTTATGCCCTGGAATTTGCGTCCTGTATTACAAGTTAGCAAATACTGCTACTGGTCAAGAAAGTGCATGGACAGTTCCAGACTAAACCTGAAAGTCGTGATGGGGCCTGGGGCCATGACCTGCTCATAGAAGCCAAGGATGCTAGCAGTGGGTGGGAACAAATGGGTCCAGGATTCTGGGCTGTCCCTTTGCCAGCCTGAAGCCAGGTATATACTGGGGGCTACTAAAGAAGGAAAGATTTCCAAGGGCTACTCCCTTTGAAGCAATTGGAGGAGTTGAGAAAGAAAAGAATGATGATGCAGTATATTCAAAACCAAGAAATGCTAATTGTCTGCACTCACCTAGAATGATACAGGCAGAAGAACCAAAGCCATCTATCTGATCTCCATCCTCCAAACACCTCCTAACCTGACTTCAGGGAAAAGATAACACAGAACCTGAGCCAATGTGCAAAGCCTCAGCTAACACTGAAGGGAATTCCTCCTTATAACCTGGCCTCCATCTCTCCTGCTGTTTAACGTAGTTCCTAACTCTGAGTGGGTCTGGTAGTTGCCCCTCCAGAGGAATGCATCCTGGAAGGTTCCTGAAATGCCACACACCCTACCTCCATCAGCAGATATGCTCACACCTGACTTCCGGGCTGGTCCAAGAGACTAAGTTCTGGCATTTGAGAAGATGCTGCCCCATGTCTGGTGGGGCTCAGACACCCCCTACACAGGCAGGGTGGGTACATGCCCACCTTTAGGTCACTACTAGGGAGAGACCCTCTCCCTTCTCACTTAATCCACAGGAAGAGGCTGGCCCCTCCTCGTAGAGCATAACCCATCTTTGCCAGGACATGGACATGCGCAGGTCATGGACACAAAGTTCCTCGTCTTTCCCTCAGGTACTATGGCTTTAGGTGCTCCTGCTGGAAAACGGACAATCCCAGCACCACTTGTAAGCCTCACCCTCCCAAAGCACCCCCAACCCAAACCCAACCAGAGAAGAGGTGGGCATACCTGAGGTCTCCCCCAGAACCCGCGGGGGCTGGCTGTCTTGGCCACTGTCTCTGCTGGGACTGGTGGAAGGCTCCGTTGTGCTTACCCCAACCGGGATCCTACTCCGGGGGTCCAGGGGCTCGGTGACCCCTTGAGTCTGCAGTGTCACAGAGGGGGCTGTGGCGGCTGTGGCCGTGGTGGTGGCAGAGGCCACAGTTGTCTTCCGTGTTTGGAAGGTGGAGACCGTGGTGGGGCCGGAAAAGCCCGGGAATGTGTTGGATTCCAGGGCCTCCTCCTCCCCCGTGGGACCCCAGGCAATGAACTCCGTCTCCGTGGTGGGCCTGCTGCCCCGGAAGTCAAAGCTGTTGAAAGCGGGCCCCTGTAGGTGCCTCTTCCCCCGCCGCAGGAGGGCCTGCTGGTCCGTGGGGGCCCCACTGGCCCCTGCAGAGGAGGAGGAGGTGGGGGAGGAGCCCAGGGAAGGGCTGGATTTGGCAGCAGCTGGGGGCTTGGCCAGCCCCTCTTTGGGCCCCAGAGTGGCCTCCTGGTCCCTGGGTCTGTGTGCCCGTCGGGCCCGGGGACTCGGCATCTGTCCGTGACTGTGTCCGCGCTCCACGCGGGGCGGCCGGGGGCTCCACACGGGTGCAGGGATCCTGGCGGGCTGTCCACTCTTAAAACTCCACAAGCGAGGCGGCCGGTGGGGTGGCCGAGGCAGTAGCCGGAACTCGGGACCCGGGCCCAGGGACTCACACGCGGGCAGATCCAGGGCGAGCTGAAACATGGCTATAAGGATCCAAGCATGGCTTCCTAGGGAGCAGCCGGGCCAGCGGATGAACATGGAACTGCGTGGGAAAGAGAGAAGAGGGTCAGTGGGGGCCTCCACCGGGAGGCTCTCTCCACCCCCACTCCAGGTCAAGGAGATGCTCTCCTAGTAACGAGCACTAATCCCAACTTCCAAAGAGGAATGGAACCCTTCATTAAGTCCCCTTCAAAGGCCAACTCATGTCTGCTCTGTTAGCATCGCAGAAGGACAGGCCCAACCTCAGTCGTCAGGACCCACTTCTCCTCCCAGGAGCTCTCCCATACGTGGCCAGCTGATGACAAGCTGGTGGCAAAGAATCCGCTTACAGGAGGGACACTGAGTTCCCAAAGTCCCCAAAGAGATGATGGCCTCAGGGGTCTTCCATCACACTTTGCTTTGACCCAGAATAAAACACAGGTACCAAGAGGGAACCAGGGCGGGGACAGCAGGGCCGGGAATGTGTCCACACACCGCGTCCAAGGCCCGGCACGGCCCTCCGGGTCACAGACGTTCCCACTCCAGCGTGAGTGATGCTAAGCCCGCAGCTGCCAGTCCTGAGGTCTGGAGGGATAGGGGTTTCAGCCCTTGGGGCTTCCCGTGGGGCACAGAGTCCCACACCTACTGCTCTGGCTGGGCCCTGTGCCCTGCCCCCCACCCCCTCCGCCTCCTATTTCAGTCGGATGTGTCTATTTGAAAGCAGCCTTGTGGCCTCAAATGCCGTGATGTGTGCACGGGGAAAGCTGCTGACTTGTGGCTGCCTCTGGATCTTGCTCAGAAGATGTGCTGCCCGGAAGAGGAAAGTTCGTCAAGGTGCCAACTCCACCCAAGTGCTTGCTCTGGCAGGTGCCCTGGCAAACCTTGTCCTCTGCCTCCTCAGCGTGGGGAGGCTGGGGAGGGCACGCCCCTCAGCCAGGGCACAGGGCTGAGCGTGCGCTGGGCCCGGGCAGGATGGAGCCAGGTCAGGATGTGGCCACACGCAGGGCAGGTGAACCCAGCCCCTGGGCCCTCCCACCTGCTTAGTTAGATAACCGAGGGCTGAGGACAGGTGCCCTTCAAAGTCAGAGCTCATCACCAATGTCAAATCTGAAAATTGACACAAAGCCAGAATTTAGGGATGGGCAAGGGTGGGCGAGTGTGTTCAGTGAGCTGAGCTGCCAACCCAAACGCTGCTCGGAACCAGGCCTATGGAAGCGGAGTTGGACAGCATTTCTTAGCCGGGCTGTCATAGAACTTTAAAAGGGACTAATTCAGCCTCTGAGTGAGTATGAGGGTGTCCTTGTGCCCGGGGCTGACCTATGCTCGCCAACACCCAGGAAGGTGCTATGCCCCCGGACACCCGTGTGTTGAAAGAAAGAAACTTGTATTAATGAGTGCTAATTGCCAAAAAGGACAGATTCCAGAATAATAAGGCCTTGGTTTTTTAATCAGAACGAGAAAGTGCTTGGCTGCAGAAACTAGAAACTGCTCATTATGCTAATGTTTCCGCATCAAGAGGCTGCCGGTGTGCACTTTCTCGGCGTGGCCAGCCCAGGGCGATGAAGGGACCATCTCGCACAAAGAGATTCAGGTCACAGAGGGAGGCCCCTCTGTGGCCGCAGGCGGCCTCTGGAGGTTTAGAAGCGCAGGTTCTCCCACCTCTCTGTGCATCTAGACACAAGTCCAGCCCCCAGGGAAGTGAGACACTGCTTCCAGCAGGTGTGATATCAGCTTGGAGGATACCACTGACCGCCCCCAGGCACCACAAGGCAGCGCTGAGCATCCTCAGCCTCATAGACACCCCTAGGCCTTATAAGGTATCCCTGGGTTTCACCAGGCCTCACCAGGCACCCCCATGCCTCATCTTGTGACCTCAGTCATCACTGGGCACCACCAAGTACCACCACCTTACCAGGTGTCACTAGGCCTCACCAGATGCCATCAGGCACCCCGAGACTCCACCAGATAGTACCAGGAGCCCCCAGGTCTCACCAGGTACAATCAGGTCCTCTTAGGTACCACCAGGCCTCAGTAGGTGCCACCAGGTACCACTAGGCCTCGTCTTGTAACCTTAGACTTCACCAGGCACCACCAGTCACCAATAGGCCCCTCCAGGTATGACCAGGAACCCTCAGGCCTCCCCAGGTACCTGCAGACCTCACCAGGCATGCCCAGGTAGCAGTCACATCGGGCCTCACCAGACTGAATGAAGAGCAGCTATACACAAGCCCACTTGCCACCTCTACCTGGAGAAGTATCACCCTAGGAAATTAAAACAGCAGCCCCTGAGCCTGCGCCTGCCTGCCCGGCATAACTTCACACGCAGGATATTTCTGCCATTTCCCACCAATCATGAGCTGTAATTGGTTACCATGGAAACCCCTCTTTTCCATGCCACCCAGATGTTATGTAGAAAAGCCAGGCCATCACAATGGCAGGGAGAGCTGGATGTATTTTTCCTCTTCCAGTCCAGTCTCTTTCTTTTTGAACTGGTGGACTTGTTCATAGGGAAAACGAGAGGCCAGGTGAACGGGTCAGGACAGAGGCTCCACCCACCCAACCCTGCCCCCTGCCCCCAGCAGCCAGGAAATGCAGGGCTCAGGCTGGGGACAGAGAGAGGCCCTCCAACAGGGAGGTCAGCGGCCGATTCTGTGGCCTCTTTACAGGGGACCCATCATCACTCATCCCTTTACAAGGGTCAAAGGCCCCAAACCCCCTGCTCTTATCAGCAGGCCTGCTGCCCCTGTGTGCTATCCAGACCTTTCTGGACTGGTGTGGGGACACGCTGGGCTGAAGACGCACCTTGGCATGAGGGGATTCAGCCAGGTGTGCAAGGACCATGCGAGGGGCAGCAGGTGAACCTCTGTCCTCATCCCTCAGCCGGTCCTGAAACCAGGCAGGACCCCAGGAACACTGCTGTGACAATGCTCAGCACAGGGCTGGGAAGCCCCCAATACCACACCCACGTTATGATGAAGGGGTTCTTGAAGCACCACTCACAGATCCTGTCATTCAGGAAGGCATCTGCAGTGCCATCAGCCTATGCTCGAGGACCCCACACATCTGCGGGGGGCGGGAGGGCCTGAGACTGCTGGTAACACTGCTGAGGATGCCACTAACCATCGGGGCCGGCGTGACACACCAAGGTCAGGTCACAGTGCAGGCAGAGGTGGGGCCAGCTCCCCTAAACTCTGGGGCCACCACAGACCCCTTACAAAATACCACCACTTCACCCCCACATGGATGGCTACAAGCAAAGAGACAGAAAATCCCAAATGTTGGCAGGGATGTGGGGAGACAGGAAGTCTCATGCATCATTAGTGAGAATGTGAAATGGTGCAGACATTAAACAGTTTGGGCATTCCTCAAAGGCTAAGAGCTACCACTGGACCCAGAAATTCCACTCCTGGGAGCAAAAATGTGTACCTGAATGTTCACAGCAGTATTATTTCTAACAGAGGAAAGGGGAGCCAGCCTCAGTGTCCATCAACTGATGAGTGGATAAAGAAAGATGGCCCAGACCTACAATGGAACATTAATTGTCCATAAAATGGAAAGAAGTATGGGGGTGGGATGAATTGGGACATTTGAGATTGACATATATACACCATTGATTCTATGAATAAAAGAGATAACTAAGGAGAACTGACTGTATAGCACAGGGAACTCTATTCAGTACTGTATAGTGACCTAATTGGGAAGGGAATCCAAAAAAGAGGGGATCTATGTAAATACACAGTTGATTTGCTTTGCTCTAAGTAGAAAATAACACAATATTTACCAGCTGAACTACCTGGGAAGATCATTGTACAGCAACTACACTCCAATGAATTTTTTTCTTTAAAAAGGAAATAAGCGCTGATACATGTTACCACATGGATGGACCTTGAAGGCATCACAAAGAAGTCAGTTACAAAAGGCTGCATGTTGCATGATTCCATTTATATGAAATGCCCAGAATCAATCAATCCCATAGGGACAGAAAGTAGACTGGTGGTTTCCAGGAGCTGGGGGCAGGGAGGTTGGGAGTTACTATCTAAACTCTAATGATTACAGGATTTCTTTTAGAGGTGATAAGAATGTTCCAGAATTACAGTGGCAACAGTTGTACAAACTTGCGAATATATTACAACTACTGACATCTACACCTTAAAGGAGTGGATTTGAGGGTGTGTAGCCTGGATCTGAAGAGGTGATGTGTGCCAGGGTAGTGAGTAGACAGGCTTGGGGGACACTGCACTGAGGCCTAGTCCTGCTCGGCAGGAGGAAAGAAAGGATGCTGGGGTTGGAGGTGGCCTTGGCAATAAACTTGCGGCTGAGACTTCAGGTTCGTCCTCATGATCCTTGCCTGAATGTCCGGCTGCCTATCTACACTCCATGACAGACGGCTACCCCGCGGTAGCATCCCAGCCCAGACTTTCAAATGAAGAACAAACACTCCACCACCCCCACCTGACTGCTCCAAAATCGGAACTACGGCTCCATCTCACTTTACTTTCTAGTTTGCAGGCTTTTTGCTTCTCTCCCTTTTAAATTTTTATTGAAATTTTTTTCCCCAAGAACGGTTTAATAAGATTCAGCAAATTGAGATTTAATTCGATACCTTCTGTATATTTTCTTCACTGAAGAAAATCACTGTCAATTAAGGGAGACAAAGACGTCTCTACCATTTAAGGGTGCACCTTTCTCGAGAGAGGCGTCTGCAAGGGTGCCTCCTGCAAGCAGCTGGCTTCCACTTGCTCAAGCACCAAGGCTGGACCACAAGTTCACACCGGAGCCCTGACTCTGCACAGCTCAGAGGCCATACCACAATCTGCAGGATGGGACAGGACCCTAGAGGTGTCAGGTGGGTGGCCAGCCTGTCCCAGCCCTGCCACAGGCAGTGACCAGCACCCCGTGTGCAATCTCAGCACTGGATGACTGAGGGAGACCCCCACCTTCCATGTCTGCTCTTGCGCTCATCATCAGTTGGTTTGAGGGACAAGTCACAGTAGGAATCATTCTGTTTGAGGCTGGCCTGAGCGTGGGCTTGTTGCTTTCACTTCACAGGCCCCAGGTTCTATC